CTGTCTCGAGTCCATTGATTTTCATTGCACTACAGACATAAGGAAGCCATGGCTAATGTAGTTTCTGTTGAAAGCATGTTTGATGGAAGACATATGTCCTTATACCAAACATAGATTCTTCTTACTCAACATTTGAGCTATAATTTTATATATATATAATTTTTTTTTAAAGTAATCTCTGCACCCAGCGTGGGGCTTGCAATCAAGACCTCAAGATCAAGAGTCACATGCACTACTGACCAAGTTGGTCAGGCGCCCCAACATTTGATATTTTTTGATTGACTTTATACCTTTTCTGCTACTGTAAGAATTTAAGTTGAATTATTTCAGTTGCATGTAAAGCAAACTTTTAGAGAGGAGTAAAAAGTTTTGTAACTTAGCCCTGGTAGGTAGAAGAAAACAAAAATCCATCCTTAGAGTTATTTTTGGATGTCTTTAGAAGGGAGCAAAGCATGTATATGAGGGCTAGGGGACCTAGGTTAGAAAATTCTATATTCTGATGTGTTCTAGTATTAAGTTGTCATAAATGGTGCTAAGACCATGTGAATTTAAATTTTGGAGAGAAGGCTCAAGAGCTATTTTTTTTAGTAATACTTTTAAAATGTGAAAATATAGAATCTTTTTTAATCCAGGAGGTGGAGAGAGTCAACAACTCAGAAATATAATTAGGCATTAAATGTCTATGGAGTACCAGGTACAGGAAAAGAAAGAATGGAATATGAATTATTGCAAAGCTAAATGAATTTAAAAGCATCTTACTGAATACTGGTGGAGGGAAATCTTGAAACCTTATAAGGCAACACAGGGTTTCTGTCTAACAACATACAGTACTATCATTGATTCTCTTTATCTACCATCTTCATTGTTTAATTTAAAAAACACAAAGACTTTGATAAGTTCACCAGTGAAGTCTCCTAGTCCTGTATTTCCTCGTGGAGGCTATGATCCTTAACTATGAATTTCCTACTACAAGGTTTTGGGACCCTAAGTCTTTTATGATTATGGAGGGACTATGTATATAGCAGAAGGTCATATATATCTACTTCAGACTTTATCTTTTGTTTAAATTTAATGTTAATCACACCTTACTGTTTTTTAAATCACATTTCACTTAGAATAATTTCTTATGTGCTTTGGGCTTTTGCTGTGCAAACTTTGCCACTTTTTAAAGTAACATTTTGCATTTAGATGCAGTATTAATTCACTTAACTCTGATTTTACTCATGTTCCACAGGAGAAATTTACCTCTTATGCGCTAAGAGTCCATTACCCAAGAGGGAAAATTCTGTTTCAACCTCAGATACAGAGGTTCATATCTTCTATGCTTCATTGTTCACCTGAGAATATTTATATTGATGACTGGTCAAAACCTCAGTGGCTGTCCTTCTTCCCCACTGCCTTCAGTGCATCCACTGTGAACCTAAAACAAAAACTCTTCATCCCATCAGAACCACTTTGAGTGTATAGAGAGTAGCATATGCCTTTTTTTTTTTTTTAAAGAGATGTATAAAGTTTAGGATTTGGTACTTGGTCTGCTATTAACACATTTTTTTTTGCAAGGGTGTAGAATTCATAATTAGAAAATATTACATGGACCATTGGACCTATTAATTGTCCCACTGCCCTAGTTAATTTTTTTAAAAAAATCAATCTGCTATAACAGATAATTTGTTTCATAGCTTAAAAAAAAAGAAATGTTGCTCTTTTGAATTTCTGTGCCTTTCCTGCTTCACAGCAAGCCAAGTGACTTGAAAAATTAAAATCTGTATGTTTGCACTTTTATAGGATTCATAAAGGATTTCATTCATGGACGATTTTGGTAGCCTGTCATGAGTGATAGGTTAGTATTAGCAAAAATGCCTTTTTGCATGAGTGTTCGGGACTGAATGGTCTGCATGTGTAAGTGCAAATTTGAATTTGCCCATCTCTCCTTTTTTTGAGTGGTGAGCCTTCTCTTGGGCCTAGTTGTGGGCAGGTTCTACCATATTCTTGAGTGGAAAGGACACTAAAGGGTTATACTATATTATGAACTCTTGCCTTTGGGGTAAAGTTGCAATGTTAAACACAACAGTTCAACTCTTTAATAAGAACTTCCTTGTCATTAGTCTTAGTAATCAAAAAGAATCCTAGTGAGGAAAGTTATTCTCACTGTCTTCAATTAATATTCAGTCACATTGATAGTCTTCTGTGCATGTGACAACATGTGACTTTTCTTCCAAGGGTTACCTTTTTTCAAAAAAGAAGATAAATCTAATTATGTACATTTATTTATGTGTTTATTTACTTAAAGATTTATTTATTTATTTTGGGGGGGGAAGCGAGTGCGAGTGGGAGGAGGGAGAGAATCTCAAGCAGACTCCCCACCGAGCATGGAGCCAGACACGGGGCTTGATTTCATGACCTATGAGATCATGACCTGAGCCGAAACCACGAGGCGGTCGCTTAACTGACTGAGCCACGCAGGTGCCCTTAATTATGTACATTTAAAACCAATTTTTTTTTTTACACTAAGTGTAAATGTTAGCCCATTCAAATATATCATTATGTGGAAAAAAGTTGGATGACTTTTTTGTGCCCATGTGGTAAAGGAGAAATCTTATGTGTGCCCTGTCTCCTCTTGCTGTGGATTTTTGAAGGTGCTGCATAAAAACTTGATTCTAATTTCAAATTTCAGTGGTCCACATGACAGGATTTAATAGGCTCCATCTCCTGTGATGCAGGACTGAGGTTTCACCAATTATCTTTCGGGCTGTAGCATTTTTATGTGCCATTCTCCAGTTCATTAGCAATACCAGAGGGCTAAGGGTTTAGTGGACTGTGTAGAAGCAGAAGCGTCCCTAATCCAAGTGCATGTCTAAAGACCATATGAGAGAGTGAGCTTTGTGTAGTTAAGGCTCGAAATATAAATTAGAAGCCTGCCAGTTATTTTATGAAGGAAAACTTTATAGACAGTACAAGCATCTCACTTGTTCAGACAGTTGTTTTACTGGTTACTTTTTGTTTGAGGCACACTAGCTGCTGATGGTACTTTTGGGAAATACTTTCATAAACATTGTTTTATGTTGTCATAGTGGTTATTCATCTCTGTGTAAAATAAGTATACTATAGTTACTGTTTATTAAAGTATACTTGCCTAGGCTCTTTTATTTCTTTGAAGTGTGAAATTTACAGTTGTCTTTTTTAAAAAGTCCTTTGGTGTACAGTGATTTTTTTTTTTTGACGGCATACGGTGTGACATCTTTTTTTTGTTGTTTATTCATTTTTGTACTTGGTTTAAGACCTAGAATATTGATTCATTATCTCAGATTTCTATTTTGATTGTCATACTCGCAGAATATATGTGTGAGGGGATTATTTATTTGGCATGTGAGCACAGTAAGAGAATGAAATTAAGAAGTATCAAGTATAGTGGATGAAATCAAGTACCTTTTGAAATAAACTGAGATTCCTCTAAATGTATGGGAATTTGGAAATACCCCAAATCCAGCACAGTGGCTTGTCGCTTTGTTGTAAACCAGAAAGCAGAAACACAATACAGTTCTTGGCTGGAGAAGGACTGTTGGCAGAGAAGGGTTGCAAATTATTGAACCTAGGCCTAAAGGGAAATCTGAGAGTACTAATTTATCGATGTTTATGGGCACATCCCAAGAAGAGTGAGTGAACTGATATTGAGTAGCAGTCATTAGAGAAATGGTTATTGTGGTTTATTTCTTCATTCACTAGCTATCTCTTCCTGCTATGCCATCAAAACCACTTTCTCCAAGGTCATTAATGTCCTTGTCTCCAAACTAAATTGGTGCTTCTGTCCCTCATCTATATGCCCTTCACACAGCATCAGAGTTGACTCCTTCCTCCTTCCTCTTCCTTCTACTGTTTCCTTCCAGATCTCTCTCTGTACATTCAGTACAATTTTAAAAACTGGTATTGTACCATGTTTATCATTTTATGTCCTCTTGAACACATTGCATGTTCATATGCACTTTAATGGCCATTACATGGATATACCATAATCTGAAAAACCATAAAAGCTTATAAAAGAAATGCTCATTTTAGGAAACTTTTTTGTCATAATAAAATATATTGAAATTATTATGAAACCATATGTAAGGAAATGGAAGAGTAGACAAAAGTATATTTTTAATAATTATAACTTTTATGATAATTTTATAATAAAATTATAATTGTATATAATTAAAAAATTATTATAATTATAAAACTAATGATGGGCAATGTTGACTATTGGAATAAACAAGAAAAACACAACCTTAGTCAAGTCATTGGGACTTTGTTCTTTCTGTTTTCTTATGTATGAAATAGCAGACTTCTGCTATTTCTGAATTATCTTCCAGTGTAACATATTCTGTGACTTGTGAATTAGTACACGCTGAGATGTCTGCGTCAGCTTGTTCCCTAAACCACCAGTTGATTCTCTTGATGGCTGTGATTACTACACAATGTACATCCATATTAAAGTTAATTTTCAAAGTGCCCTGCTCACTGCTTTATTCATTTGTTTGTCATGTGGCATGGTTTTCTTTCTGCAGATCTGAATTCCTGTCTTGTGTATTTATCTAATTTCTGTATTTGTTTATGTAGAATACAGAGCTTATAATAGCTATGGGAAACCATTTTTATTTGCATTTGAAAGTCTCTTGCCCTTGGTGATTAATGATTATGAAGCTATATTAGAAATACGCGTATGAATACAGAAGAATACAGAGCTGTGAAAAAATTCATGTGTAAGTAACAACATATTCAATTAAAAATACTCCCTAGAATGGTCTGATGTCAAATTGAAATTTCACATCTTTTTTCCATTGAATTCAGCAGCTTGTGATACTTGATCCTTAATGCTTTGTGTGAATTCTGAGTCATTCATTTTAGTAAAAGTTGTATATTATTAAGGAAGTTTAAAAAATTCTTCCCCTGGTGCATCCATTTAGTTAAAAATCAAGTCACACATTCTATTTACTTAAACCCATCTTCACTTATTTTGCCAGTAACATATTTGGTTTGCGACCTGTGGATTATGCAAATGGTGAAAATATGAAATCACTATTGCTGCTGCCAGAGAAGAATGAATCATCATCAACTCGCCATTGCTCAGTAGTAAGTATGGATTAGGCTTTAGGAAAATTATGTCTTTTATTGAAATTGGTTGTGAAGGGAACATAATAGGAAAATTTCTACTTAGCAAATTGCTTTCAATCACCAATTATTGAACACTTCTTTGTATTAGGGATTGTGAGTTCAAAGACTATTATCATCAGAATAAGTCTAACAACAAGTATTTTTTTGAACCCCCCTCTATATTTTAGGGAACATTCATACTGCAACCAATGTGACAGATGGAGCTCTTGTTCTCAAGGAGCTAACACTGTAATGAGAGATAGGAGAGAGAGACTATAAATATGTAAGCTAATATAAATGAAATAGTTTCAGGACCTTACAAATGTGTGGTTTGAAGATTTTGTAGAGTGTAATTGAGTGGAGGTGGAGGGCTCCAGTTTAAAAGGTACTGCTTTAGCTGGGATCATTGAGGAAGGCCTCCAGAGAGCTGATGTTTGATGTGAAACTTGAATGAGGAGGACGAGGCATCCGGGTGAACATCTGTCTGGATGACAAGTGTTCCCTATAGCAAATGTTGTATAGGGTCCCTCAGTGGATGAGCTTGGTGTGTTTGAAGGTTAGAGAGAAGGTCATACTTGCTGGCAACTAGTCAGTGTCTAAGAGTAATGGAAACCACTGAAAGGATTTAAAGCAAGGGAATGACATGATTCAATTTATGTTTTAGAAAGTTCACTCTGGCTGATTTGTAGTAAAGAGACAGGGGTGGGGCAAGAGCAGAAGCAGGGCGGTTACTGAGGAGTGTTTCACTGTGATGAGAAGAGATAGCGCCTGGATTAAGGTAATGGCCGTGGAGATTGTGAGAAGTAATGAGGTTTAGTGTATATTTTTGAGTTAATGGCAACAAATTTTCTGATGGATTATATATGAAGTGTGGATAAATAGAACTAGTGTGACTTCAGCAGTGGGGTGGTAGATGGTGGTGCCATTTCCTGCTGTGGGGAAGGAAACCAGTAATTCCCTGCCAATTTTATGTCTGTAAGGCAGCAAACATGTTGAACGGGCAGGTGGGTCTGTAGCTTAGGAAAGTGCTATAAGTTAGAGAAAGTGGAAGGAATGCTTATTCCTTAGGAACTTATGGTTTAGTGGGGAATATAGATGTTAAAAAAGTTCATTATATACTGTAATAAATTTATAATAGAAGCCATAAAAATGTACAGTAGATTCATAGAGAAGGAAGAAGCTGACTTCAGGAGTGATCAGAAGAGCTTCACAGAGAAGGTGACAAAGAAGGCATGTAAACTTGTAAAGGTAAAAGTTATAGCAAGGTGTCTAATAGAATGTTGGCTGCAGATAACAAAATAGTTACTTAAATGCCTAAAGGCAGTGTTTTATTTTATCTAAAGATAATCTCAATATAGGAGAGCTTTCCTTGGTGAGTTCAGCAATTAAATGGCTGCACCAGAGACCCAAATTCTGTCTTTCTGCATTGCCATCCTCAGCTTGATGGCTTTGTCCTCACTTCACTAATTTCCACTCAGTGGTTATAGGACGATTGCCACAATTGTAGATGGGACAGTATCCAGTGTTAAAAGAGGGACTAAAACCTTCCCCAGAAGCCTTCCACTGGACTTCCCCTTATGTCTTATTGGTCAGAACTGGTCACACAATTGGTGCTGACATACGTGGATATCTGTAAAAATTGGGATTCTGTTAGTGTGGAGGAAGTGAGGCATGGATCCAGTGAGCATTGCCCCACTGTGAATCAGGTATACAAAGTGGGGATGGCAGTTCAAATCTAAGGAACAACAGCTTGAAGACAAGGAAGCATAAAGAACCTTCAAAATCTGAGAAACTAGATTTAGCGTGAGAAGAGCAGAAGGTGTATTATTAGATAGGAGCTGGAGTGAAGTTGGGATCAGACTGTAAAAGGCTTTGGATGCCCTGAGGAGGAGTTTAGGCGTTACTGGTCCACTCAGTGGGGTACTTGCAGTGCGTTGTAGTGCAGAGGACAGTTCGGAGTGGGCCAAGACCGAAGACTTGTTGGGAGGCTGTGAGGTAGACAGAACTCTGATGTGGAAGGGTGGTGTGATGTGGGCAGGGAGAGAAGAGGGGTTTTCAAGAGAGGGGTGTGGCGGGTACATCACAACTGCCCAGATAGGGGAAGATGAGAGAAAGAGGTGACTTGAGGTCTATGACCAGAGGTCCTGCGCTTCTTGTCTGGTGAGGGCAGTGGCGCGGTGATTGATCCCGTTGTTGCAGATGAGGAGGTGACCTAAGGTACTTGAGGGGATCATAGGTGCTGTTGCAGGCTAGTTACCTTTGTACTCGGAGAACTTTCTATCTCCTGCCTTCTCCTGGACATCAGCTCTGCAAATGGGCACCAAGCTGGAATTTTGATAATGAACTGAAAGAGAAAGTAGAAGTCAGCAGTTTAATTTTCTTAGTTTATAAATGAGAAAGCTGAAACCTGGTTTGATTTGCTCATGGTTAAGGAGCCATTACAAAAAAAAAAAAAAGTAAGTTTTTTTTTTTGAATGGATCAGTTAGAACTTGAGTTTCTTACATCTTAGGTAAGTACTTATTCAGTCCCACCATACTTAATATGGTAAAATAAATTGGCATTTATTTTATTCATTAGGACTTGGACTCTCCTGGCAGAACATAGAACTAAGAACTAAGTTGTCGTTTGCCAGTGTTGCTTTTATGAAAAGCTGGAGAAGGATTGTTTTAAATGTGTCAAAAATAAAGATGTCACTATGGTATTGTTGGAGCATGAAAATGGGAAATTGGTTATCGTCCTCTCAATTCTACTGTCCATTTACTGTTTTTATTAAATGTAAGAAACCTACACTTTCCTCATGTCACGTGGACATGGCCTGAGAATATCATTGTTTACTACCTTAGTGGTAGGTTTTTGGCTAAGGAAAAGCTAATGGATAGAAGTCCTAAGTTGAAAGGGTTGTGTCTCTCTGGAATCTGTCTTCCCTCAGCTGCTGCCAGACTCCCTTTCACTCACTCTTTCTCAGCCACATTGAGCTGCCTCACTGTTTCTTAAATACACCAACCACGCTCCGATTTCAGGTCCTCCGCACTAGCTGTTTTCTCTGCCAGGAACAGTTGTAGGGAGCTGGGTGTACACGTGGCATCCGACTCTGGTGTAGTCCTATCAGGGAGCGCTCTGTACAGCCGTATCTTACATAGCAGAGTGCTTCCTGTCCTCCCAACCCGGCTTTATTTTCCCGTACCACTAATTGTCTGGCAAAATATATTTTTATTTTATTGGATTTTTTCCCCCATTGTTTTTATGCCCACAGCCAAGTGCCCAGATACCAACAGACCCAAGACTTTGTTTGAATTTTTACTTCGTAGAATTTAGCTCAGGGCTTTAAGATAATGGCATGGGTATTGAGAAATATTTATCTGCTCTATGCGAAACAGCAATGCAGGCATGATGATAAATGTGTTCACGTATCTGACAAATATTTATTGGGTGTCTGCAATATATCAGTCAGTGTTCCAGGCACTTGGGGATACTGTGATCTCTGCTAGGTTGGAACTTCAATTTGAGAGTGAAGATGGAGACACATGGGGCGCCTGCCTGGCTCAGTTGGTTAAGCATCTGCCTTCAGCTCAGGTCATGGTCCCAGGGTCCTGGGATTGAGCTCCCTTGGAGGGCTCCCTGTTCAGCAGGGAGTCGGCTTCTCCCTCTCCCTCTGCCCTCGCCCTTGGTGTGCTCTCTGTCTTGCTCTCTCTCAAATAAATAAATCTTTTAAAAAAAGAGTTTGTTTAATGTCATTGTACATAGTAACTAATATCTATAGAATCAGGGTACTGAACCCTTGGGATGTTTTCTGAACATCTTTTGAACCTCATGGTTCTAAGATCTCTGTTTATTCAAGCCAAATTCTTCGCCCACCCCTCACCTCCTGTTACAAATCAAATGTGTGGCATTGGTGGCTGTTTGCTTTATTATTATTTTTTTAATAGTATTTCTTAACTATGAGAAATTAGTGCCAGTTTCTATTTTTTATTCAAATGTAGAAACTGATAGGAAAATGCTTGACCCACTTTGGTGCTTTTCTGGGGTTGATGGAAATAGTATCATATGCTATATTTAGAATTGATATCTTTTCACTCTTGGTATTTTGTGCAGAGAACTCATTTAGCTGAAGTGGAGTTATATAAATTGGAAAGTAATGTGTTGCATTTAGAGCTATTTTTGTGGCACTTATTTGTATAACTGACAATTTTTGAATTACTATTTTTTTTACTATTATTATTATTTTTTAAAGATTTTATTTATTTATTTGACAGAGAGAGAGCGAGAGAGTGAACACGAGCAGGGAGAGTGGGAGAGGGAGAAGTAGGCTTCCTGCCGAGCGGGGAGCCTGATGCGGGGCTCGATCCCAGGACCCTGGGATCATGACCTGAGCCGAAGGCAGACGCTTAATGACTGAGCCACTCAGGCGCCCCCCTCTTTTTTACTAGTGTTTAGTAATTGAATGATCCATAAAATGTACTGCACTATTTTCATCTTAAGGAATATTTGCAGTGTTTAGATTAGACATAACAGTGTCTAGTATATCACCTTATAACTTAGTGAATAGGGGAGATACATATACAGAAATGTGATGTCAATATGTGTAAATTCGTCCAGTAAAACCTTTGCCCCTTGAGCCCTAGATGAATAAGTAATTCAGGAAACTTTAACTTCTAAGTGCTGAATATTGCCATCAAAAAAACCTCTTATAGAAATCTATAGATCTATTCAATAGATTTGAATGAATGAGGTCGATCTGTTTATGGTTGTAGCTAAACAACTTAGATGTTACCTTGTAGGGCGTCAGACTGAATTATCACTACTCTGATATGTGAAGTGAATATTTAAATACTAACTGTCTCAAATCTAGTTGCTGAACTGTGCTAGTGATCATACCTTCAGTGTTTCACTCGTGTTCTTCGGAGCTTTCGAGAACCCAGAAAAATCCTCTGCATATAAAGTCACACAACGTCAGAAGGCCCTGTGTCTTGTATTTGAAAGTTCCAGTACTCTACTTGGCTTTTTGTCCTCTTATTCAGTGGTGCTGGTTTGCTTTTTCTTTTCTTCTCTGCTGGGTCGTTGCTCGTCTCTTACTGGATGGCTTGTGGCCAGCCCTCACTCCAGTTCTGTTTGTTAAGTTCTGTTGGCTGCTGTTGGGCACACATCTCCTTGTTTCTTTGAATCTTTCACTTCTGATCTCAAATGCTGTCCACTGGTGTCTTCTCTTTGTTTTTGTTGTTTTTGTTTCCTGTAAGCTCTGTCTCTCTCTTCAAGTGAAAATATTGGTCGTTGTTAGAGCAGTTCTTTCCTTTTCATGAGCTGCGTTGAGTTATTACTGTTGGTGGATCTGATCTAACTTTTGTGTTCTCTTGTCTGTTTTAATTTTCTTTGTTTTGATAGGTAGCTGTTTTGATGTTAAGAGTTTGGGTTTTTGATTTTTGAGCTCCGTGCTATTAGAAGCTTTAGTATTCTTTGATTTTTCACATAATCTCAGTTTAAAATAACAAGACCAAACTGAGTTTTAACTTCAGTGGAGTAAGTTAGTGGAGGGGAGATAAGGAATTGATCATTTTTTAAGGGGGTGTTTTGGGTTACTTAAGAAAAAAAAAAAAAAGGCTTCCTGGTGACAGAATGAAGTCGTAAAATCTTACAGAGATCCAGTTTAGAATCAAGGAGACAAGATGCCCTGGGTTTAGATTGCTATTCCAAATAACGTTTTATTGGGGGAAAAAATAAGGGACTAATAAAATGCATTGAGCATTAAGGCTCTTGTGTGACGATTCGATGGACATTGTGGGGAATCACTGGATAGAGGAAGATAAGTACAGAGACTCAAGCTTCTATCAAGTGCAAGTCAGTTAATATCTTTCTCTAGTCTTCAAATGATTTTAACACTGTGGTATCTCCCCTTTCTTAACAGATGAACACTGGTCAGCGTAGGGATGGACCTCTCGTGCTTATAGGCAGTGGGCTTTCTTCAGAACAACAAAAAATGCTCAGTGAGCTTGCAGCAATTCTTAAGGTTAAAAAATGTGCTGAATTTGACAATACAGGTGAGTTTTATATATTTATTTTTGGTTCAAAGAATTTTTAAATAGGTAATCCCTTTGTAGACCTCCCTTGATAATTTATATGTCTTAACTATTGGGGATTGGCAGTATGCTTTGAATCTTGTAATACGTCAAAAATGTGTTTATAGTTATAAACTACTTACAGGCCTAATTTAGTTAGGAAACATGAAGTTTAAAGCTTTGCACATATTTTAGGACAGAACAAGTGTCAGAAGGGCAAACTTCTGAGTTCACTAATGACAGATAAATTGTGTGCAATGGAATGCTTGAATTCTTTAGTTATAATTTGAAAATAAAAATATATGTTTGCTAATGTGGCTTTAAGGTACATGGTTTATGATCTGATTTTTCATGTTGTTGGCCAGGATGGAGAATGATACTAAATTTAAAAAGTCTTATATCTAAGTATAAAGATTGTTGCTTTTGAAGAAAATTCAGATTATGAAGCACTGACTAACTGGTTCTAATAGTTAAAGAATTATTTTGGTTTATATCTCTGTTTTTCTTCTTTTTTTTTTTTGTATTCTAGTAACTCATGTCATTGTTCCTGGGGATACAGTTCAAAGTACCCTAAAATGTATGCTTGGGATTCTCAGTGGATGTTGGATCTTAAAATTTGAATGTAAGTACTGGACTTGGGAGAACTACAAAATGAATTAAGTTGACTAATTTCATTTTTTATGGTGTTCTATTGCCAATAATTATTTAAGGAACTAAATGGTATTTTTTTTTTTTTTAACTCCCTGGTTAGTCACTTATTTTGAAAAAACTTCTTATATTAATGGTATCATTTAGATGTTCTTGATGTGTCCACAGAAGTGCTTTTTAGTCTTCTTTAAAGTCTTTTTTTCCTCTACTATGAACTATTTTAATAAAGAGTAAATGGATTATATGGTAGACTTTTAAGCTTAAGCAATCCATATCACTGTTGAGATATTTAACTTAATAAACACATCTTTTGAATATACTACCATGATGTGAAATAGTTTATGGCTTTCATTTTATGACCTTTTTTTAGGGGTGGGGAAGGAATAGAGGGCGAGGGAGAGAGAGAATCTTAAGCAGGCCCCACACCCATCGCAGAGCCTGACGCGGGGCTCAATCTTACCCCTCTGAGATCATGACCTGAGCTGAAATCAAGAGTCAGGCGCTTAATCAGCTGAGCCACCCAGGCACCCCTTGCTTTACGATTTCTGAAAACTGTGCACGCTTTCTTAGCTGATCCAGTATATCTTTGGAAACTGTTGGAAGTTTCGACTGCCTTGTACTACCTGATTTGGAGTGATTACACCAGCTGTTATCCACACCTCTGCTAAAGATGTATCGTCCTTATCTGCTGCTTCTTGGTGCTCAAGCACCACTTCTTTGAGAGCTGCCTTTCACCTTCCCTGCTCTCACTTGTTTGCTTTTCTTACCCTTAGATTCACTTAGGACGTCAAACAACAAAAGAAAGCATATACAGGGTTATTTCCTATTCTTCAATAGCTAAAGTATCTGCTTTGCATATGATGACTAAAATAGGACGGTGGGTATATCTGTTTTGTGCACTAGTTTTTTAGAAGAGAATAATGGTTGTAAAAGAGGTACACAGGGGTCTTGTGATGATGGGGCCGAGTATCTTGATCCTAGCAGTGGTACATTACACACATGATTAAATTGTATAGATCTGCATGCATATGCATACACACAGACCTGAGTGCATGTGTAACTGATGAAATCTGAATAAGCTCTATGGATTGTATCTGTGTCAAATTCTTGGTTTTGATATTGTGCTCTAAATGTGTGTAGGGAGTTAGATTGGACCCTGGAGGAAAGGCGCATGGGACTTCCCTGTACATTTCTGTGTATCATCCTGTGAATCTATAATTATTTCAGATTAAAAAGATAAAAAAGGATAGCAAGTATTTTTAATGAAACTTTGTTTTTAAGAAGCAAAGGATGGATTAGAATTAGTTTTAAAAAACTTTATGTTATGGCTTTGTGCTTTGAAGGTTTTATGGTAGAAATGCTTGATTTATCAAGATCTTAATTGTGTTATTAATTTGATCTCTAGTTTGAAATTAATTGGGTTTGTAGAACGGTTTCCCTTTAGCAATTGGTATTCATGTCCTTTTTAAATGCAGCTACCACTGTCCTTGTGATGCCAGTCTCGACTGATGGGTCAGATCCAGCGAAGGCTGTGACCAGCACTGTTCCTCATCTCTGCTCATCCTATCTGTGATTAGTCTGTCCTGGTTATGACCAGTTCAAGGAGTATGATAAGCAGTTGGACTGACGACTTACGTACACAGAAAAAAAAAGTTTCCCTTTCTGCCTCACTCTTATTTTTGAACTTCTTTTCTCTTTTAAATCTGTGGCAAGTCTTATTGGGCCTCAGTGTTTAAAACATTTGGTTTCATGACTGTAGATGCTGTTTTATTGAAACTGCTCCAGAAGCTTTGCCAGCGGTTATAGGAAGGAACAGATTTTCGTAATAACAAGGTCTTAACAATAAAGAAGCCATGTGAAATTTTGAATGTTAAAGCATTGCCAGTTTAAGTCTTGTTCTTGTGAATACGCTCAACTTGCATCTGGTTAAATATACACGCTACATGATTCATTTCCATAAAATCTGCCTTCTTTAAGAAATGGAAGTTTTATCATTTTAATGGCTTGGCCATGTCATTTTTATAGAATCACAGTGGACTCAAGCTGACTCAGTAGTGTGCTGTTTGGTGATTCTCACAGTGCTGAATAACACACTCCAGTGTTAGTAGTTCTGTAGGATAAAGGATGTATGGAATCTTTTTTTTTGTTGTTAATTGTTTCAATTTTTTTAGAGATTGATTGATTTGACAGAGAGAGAGAGAGAGAGCGCACAAGCAGGGGCGCGGCAGGTAGAGCAGGAGAGGGAGAAGCAGGCTCCCTGCTGAGCAGGGAGCCCCATGTGGGGCTCCATCCTAGGACCCTGGGATCATGACCTGAGCTGAAGGCAGACACTTAACCGACTGAGCCACCCAGGCACCCTCGTAATTGCATGGAATCTCTTACTAAAGTTCATATCCTTGTACTTTCTAACAGAGTCCAAAGAGAAATAGGGTCAGGGTTTGGGACAATTCATGTTGTGTTGTAAATGGCCATTGGGTCTATCAAGAGAAGGCAAGAAACTGTGAATACCTTCTGTCCTAATATATATTTCTCACTACATTGTTTTTTTGCGTCAGACGCGTCAGTTTGATTTTTTAAAATGTTCAAATCTATTCAGAACTTTCTGAAACAAACATGTATGTTGAAGAAACATGAGATGGACCAAAGCTTTCAAAATTAATTGTAAAGATTTATGACTTATTGAAAGTAGGTCTTGTGGTTGAAGATACCGATTAGCTTCCTGGTAGACAAAATCTTTACTTGTTTAACTATGTGGAAACTTCAGTATTCTGTTTTCATGGGATTTTTCCATAAACCAAGTAGATTCAAGAGGAAATTCTATCTAAACTTTTCTCTGTAGATAATTACCAAAATAATCTAACAAATTAAACACATTTAAACAAATAAAAAGGAATTATAGCTATCTAAATTTACCTATTGGAAATGTTCTGTTTAACCATGTTTGTCTTAATTGGTTACTATCTCCTTATTTTCCCACATTATATATGTGGAGTATATTACAGTGTCACAGTTAATGGATATACCAATGGAGATTCTGAGAATAGGCTATAGTTATACTATTGTGCCAGCCATTTGTTTCATATTTATTTTATAAATATTTTACAGAAATGAGAGATACAGGTAGGAAAATTCCTTTAAGATTAAGTTTATGGCTGAGCTCCTGCTTAAGTCCTGGTTCTGGTGCAAATTCCTCACATGCAACTTAGAACTGTCATCGTACAAGGGTGAATTTGGGTAATTAAAGACATGACTAGAATGAAAAAATAGAAGATACACAAATAAGTGATTTTTATTCACCTTCTAGACTGTGAATATGGCCGAACTACATCCTAAAGATGTAAACTAGCCTTCAAAAAGAGGAAATGTCTTTTATTGACCTATCCTTTTAGTACACTGCTTTCAAAATTTCCTCTAGCCTGAGCTTTTTTTTTTTTTAATCTGCCTCTTCACTTCTCATCTCAATGTGAAGAGAGCAGATGGCTGTCATCTTTTCTTAATAATCTCTCCTCCTTCCCCGTTCTCCTCTTAAGTTTCGCTGCTGGAGAAGTTTTGAAAGTCCTTAGCACCCGAGGGCATTGCCATGGGAATGTGCCAGATATTTTACACTGGACTGGTGTCTGTGAGGTGAGGAAGCACCAAGTAGGGTGCTTCTTTGTTTATGTTTCAGTTGAGGTGGATGGAACCTAAAAGACAATCATCATACCATCATATTATAAATAACCTCATAATCAGGTTAACAAACTTAGACTTTTCTATTAAATATGTTTCTTCAAATTTTATTCTATTCAATAAAATGAATAAAATCTATTCAGTTCTATTTAAACTTTGCTAATTTCTAAAAAAATAAATATACCAAAGCATTTCTTTTTTTTGTTAATCACCATACATTACATCATTAGTTTTTAATGTAGTATTCCATGATTGTTCGCATATAACACCCAGTGCTCCATGCAGAACGTGCCCTCTTTAATACCCATCACCAGGCTAACCCGTCCCCCCACCCCCCCTCCCTTCTAGAACCCTCAGTTTGTTTCTCAGAGTCCATAGTCTCTCATGGTCGTCTTCCCCTCCGACTCCCCCCCTTCATTTTCCCTTCCTGCTATCTTCTTCTTCTTTTTTTTTAACATATAAATGTATTATTTGTTTCAGAGGTACAGGTCTGTGATTCAAAGTCTTACACAATTCACAGCACTCACCATAGCACATACCCTCCCCAGTGTCTATCACCCAGCCAGCCATCCCTCCCACCCCCCACCACTCCAGCAACCCTCATTTGTTTCCTGAGATTAAGAATTCCTCATATCAGTGAGGTCATATGATACATGTCTTTCTCTGATTGACTTATTTCACTCAGCATAACCCCCTTCAGTTTCATCCACATCGTTGCAAATGGCAAGATCTCATTCCTTTTGATGGCTGCATAATATTCCATTGTATATATATACCACTTCTTCTTTATCCATTCATCTGTTGATGGACATCTTGGCTCTTTCCACAGTTTGGCTATTGTGGACATTGCTGCTATAAACAT